AGTTTTGGGCAGGTGGCCTTCTTAAACTCAGCCCGCCCAAACATTAGGGGTTTGAGCTGGCCTTTGGCTAGGATTAAGCCAGGATCAAACCTGGATGAACCATTCCTGCTTTGGGGGTTTTTTTTGGGGGGGGTTTCCTCTCCCCCATCCCACCTTGGAAAAAATGACACAACAGAGAGGGGTTTTTTTAATCACCAAGGGGTCACAAGGGACGAAGTTTACACCAAGGTGGCTCTACGTAGACACTTCTTAACTCGCACAGAGAGCCCAACGAAGGCCGGAGGGAAAACCACGCATGCATTCAGACAGCTCCAGGTCCAGTATATATATAATATATATATATTCACTTGCACTCAAGTGTTCCAAAAGAAAGTCCTTGGGCCATTTGGAAGAGCCCGGGGGGCCAAGCGGGGGAGTCCCCGTCCCCCCCACAGGGGGGTGGTTTTCTCTGGAATCGCGCATCGGTTTTCCTTGGTGGTCAATGCCAAGAACGTTTCCCCGGTGGACATTCCCGTCTTTGGAAGAGACCTTTGGAAAGCAAACTAGGGAGACAGGATGCGGCCCCTTTCCTTGCCTCTCCCTTCTCCCCACGCTGTGCCCCAAATGTGGGGGTGACCTAAGCGGCATTCATGTGGATCCCATCGAAAGGAATCTCCGTGGAAGTTTCGGGCGTGATGCTCTTCAGGAGACGCTGCGGAGGAGACGAAGACAACGGCAGTGAGAGAGAGAGAGCAGCATTGGGCCCAGAGGGGGACAGGAGGCACCCCCCAGTTCCTCCCCATGGGGGCATGGGAGGGGCCTTCTTAAAGCAGGCTGGCTGGGGGATTCTGGGAGTGGAAGTCCTCCCCTCTTAAAGCAGGCTGGTTGGGGGATTCTGGGAGTGGAAGCCCTCCCCTCTTAAAGCATCCTGGCTGGGGGATTCTGGGAGTGGAAGCCCTCCCCTCTTAAAGCAGGCTGGCTGGGGGATTCTGGGAGTGGAAGCCCTCCCCTCTTAAAGCATCCTGGCTGGGGGATTCTGGGAGTGGAAGCCCACCCCTCTTAAAGCATCCTGGCTGGGGGATTCTGGGAGTGGAAGCCCTCCCCTCTTAAAGCAGCCTGGCTGGGGGATTCTGGGAGTGGAAGCCCTCCCCTCTTAAAGCATCCTGGCTGGGGGATTCTGGGAGTGGAAGTCCTCCCCTCTTAAAGCAGGCTGGCTGGGGGATTCTGGGAGTGGAAGTCCTCCCCTCTTCAAGCAGGCTGGCTGGGGGATTCTGGGAGTGGGAGCCCTCCCCTCTTCAATTTGCCAAGGTTGAGAAGTCCCCGAGTGGAGCATTCCACCTCAGAGTAGCTTCCTCTGTCGATGGACAGCCCCACCCTTTGTCTTCCTCCTGCAATTCCCTCCTCTGCCCCCTCCTCCACAGGCCCCACCTACCTCTTTTAGCGTCCCCGGAGTCCTTGCCAACCGATAAACCATGTAGGCAGGGATGCAGATGAAGGAGGAGGTCCCAATGCAATAGCCCAGCACCATGGTCCAGTAGGGGTAATTGTAGTCAAAGAGGCGGATTTCCGGAGGGCTTGCGACGAAGCTGCAGAGAATGAACTGAAGAAGACCCCCCACCATCAATGTCTCAGCTGGTGGGGCAGAACCCAAAGACTGAAGCTCCAGACCTACCATCAGTGGTCAGTCTGGGCCTCTCGGACCTGGTCAATGGGGCAGAACCCAAAGGGAAGCTCCAAAT